GGTTCCTTAAGTGTAGCAAAGAAATCTCTTGGGGTTCCATCTTAAGTGCCATGGTGTTAAAAAGAATCTTGCCCACACTACAGAAACATCTCACAGTTGCTTCAGGAATATCACAACATAAGCATACGGTAATTTCTCATTATATTCATAAAAAAAAAAAAAAAAAAGTATTTTTCCAAAGACCAAGTTTTGCAAGAAATAATAAGAAATGCTGATTAAACAGTTTAAAAGTCAGTTGATGACTATGGTTTCAAAGATTTTTGTGTGAGTAATTAAAATGATAAATTGTAAAAAAAAAATCAAATTAAAGTGAAAGTATTTGAACATTTCCAGTAATTACCATACCTGTTGTCTTCTGGCAATTGTGTACAACACTCCATATCAGCTGAACCAGGAGTTAATTACACATCAGGCCCAAAGCAAGTCATTTCAAAGGGGGATTCTTTTTCTGAGAAAGTGCACCTTTTACCAAGAAACCATCATGTGCGTAGATAAAAATTTTATCCAGACTGGACCTTTTCCAGGCAAAAGGAGCGATTCATTCAAACCCTCCCCCTGGCTATGGTTGGTTAATGCCCAAAAAATGCTTAATAAATATGTAATTCTGAAATGTGCATATAACTCATTGACAACAAAAAAGAATCGCTATTTCTTTTCTTTTTTTTTTTTTTTTTTTTGTCACCATGTCATGATGAAATCTACAATTCGTAACAAAGAAATAAAGATAATTTAACAGCAACCATACAGATCGGTAAATATTGGATGAGAAAAGAAGAAAATAGTCATTTAACAGCAAGAAATTAATCAGATAAACTTAGACTATTTTAACACTTTTTTTCTCCCAATGGACATGGAAAGAGATTATAAGAAGGATAAAACTAACAGAAATGAGATTTTTCTTGAAAAACTTAGATATCTATCTATCGTGTCCACAGTTAGCGCACTACACTGGGGTCCAACCTGATATTTCAATTACAGTAACCACTTTCGACAAAAACCCAATAACATAGCGCTGGGACCTAGGCATCACGAATTCTGCAGTAATTCCAGAAACGTGTTGATTAAGATATCCAAACCTCCTGAGACTTCCACTGGGTCTGGAGGAACTGGAGGGTTTATTGGATTACATGCAGTGTATGCAATCAGGTATAGACGGAGACAAAACTCCACCTAGGGACAATTAAAATGAAGGAAAGACATGAATTTGTGCGCAGGGATGTAAAACTGAAAAAAAGATAAATACATGGGTGCATTTGCCAATTTTCTTGTCCTACAATTGTGAACTAAATAACGCACATATGACCTCTCTCTTCCCATCTCTCTACCTCCTCCCCATTTTTCTCTTTTTATCTCTCCTCCTTTGTCTCTCTCCCTTTCTCTAATTTGTTCTTTTTATCTCTGCTCCCTCCTTCTCTCACTTTGCATGTATACGCAAATATGTGTATATGCATTTGGTTTAATATACATGTTTAACTAGCATACCAACAATATTTATTAAACCTCTTGTGCTAGGTCATTAAAAAAGAAGCATAACAAAACCTGGGTAGTATTCTTTCTTCAATTACCAGTGAGACACAGTCGCACTGCATCCAAACAAATTAGCAACGCTCATCAGTATCCCCTTTGTCATCTTTGATTTTACTATTTCCTTTTCAATATGCCAATTAGGGCCCGAAGACACGCATGCGAGCATGCATGCAGGTAATTTAATATGGCACAACTCTCTCTTGTTACGGCTTAACTCTTGAGTTACTTGAACAGAATACAAAAACTCTTAGACTGGCTATAGCTTTAATTTGACTTTACCACACTGACTACAGGCTATAGCTTTAGTTTGACTTTAGCACACTGACTACAGTGTTAGAAGTAGAATATACATGAGATGACTTACGTCAAGCTTGTAAAAAACTTTGCTTACTAAAGAACTTCTACAACTTTATCTTAAGGTTAACAGCCAGTTTTTTAGCCTCAATTTTAATTCCTCTTAGTTTGCAGAGATATAAAGCTGCTATCTTTTTCCTATACTATCAAGACAGGAAAGACCTGCAGCATAAGATAGAGACACATTCTATACATATATTGTATTTACACAACACTCTTATGTTATTTTCAGAGGAGGAATGATCAAAAGATTTTGTCTAAAATAAAACATGAATGAAGAGATGACTGTGTACGTGCGTGCATGTATGTGTGTGTTTGTATGTATGTGTGTCTGTCGGTGTGTGTGTGCACATGCATGTATCTATCGTGTATTTATGAAAATAAACCTGCCTGTGCAGAGGTGTTTGTATGCATGCTCAGGTACGTACATGTATGCATAGGTGTTTGTATGCATGCTCAGGTACGTACATGTATGCATAGGTGTTTGTATGCATGCTCAGGTACGTACATGTATGCATTCTAGTGTGTGCACCATGCAGGCTAAAATGTGTACAATGTTAAAATTAGGAACAAGCAGAGGAATGCTAGCGTGCGTGATGCATAAGCATGCACGTGCAAGTGCAAGCACGTGCATATTAATGTGCTATAATTTAACACGTATAATGCATTTCTCTTCATTGCTGTTTACAGACTTGCACTCAGTACTCAGCAGTAATTAAGTAGGAACACAGAAAATAAGTTTAAAAAAACAAATTAACGTGGAATGAAAAACAAACTGAAGTATTGCTATCAAAAAAAAAAAAAAATCTATCAGATCCTTGAGGACAGATCATCAGGATAATTTTGATCTGGCATGTGCCAATAATACACTGAATATCTGATCAATAGTTTCAGATTTCTTTATAGATAAACACTTTCACAAATAAGGTACTATAATCATAGGGATATGCAACTACAAAATTGTTACACAAATAAATAAGCAACAAAGTTACATAAATAAATAAGCAGTGCAATTACACACAAATAAGTACTCCATATAACCATATGCAAGGTTTGATCTAATCACCAACTAACAAGTCTTTCCTTACAGCTAGGGAAATCACATACTTTCTTACATTACATGTATCAAAATGACTCTCTTGTGTTAAAAGTTTGTATAATACTAGGATAAGGCAGTACAGATTCATAATCAGCACAAAGAATGAGATAATGAATCTACAAAGCATTCAACAGGTGGGAGCTCATCCCTAATGGATCTAAATGAAACAACAGGCATTTTGAAAATCTTTTTTATAGCAGAAGTTTGTGTTAGTCCATTATTTCATTAAATTCCATCCAAATTAATGCAACAAATGTTTCAGATGCAATTATAGATATTATTAATTGTACAAATCACACACTAGGCTATTTATAGCAAGTGACGCATTCGCTAGTGTCACTTTGGTGTGAACAGTTTGAAGCAAGACTACTTTCAAATTTATTTTAATAAAAGTGATATTAGTGAGACTCCAGCTTTGTTATTATAGTCTTCCATCAATCATATTTGATAGCGCAATTCAGAACCAAAAATTATCTTAGAGAGCTAGAAAAAAATTCCTGAAAATTGCCACACAGTTATCATTTCATACTGTAGAAAAAAAAAATTAATGCACTACATTAATAAATTATTAGAAAATCAATATATCCTAGTTTTTAGCAATGTGTATTAAAAATTTAGAAATGCTTTTTCCTGGACATTAAAAGGCATTGTGTCATCCTAATGTTGGAATGCAATCTACATCTAAAACGACTTTGAAATATCATCTATAATCATAAGTGCAGACAAAATCAAAAGAACCACAAATATCAAACCCTATATCTGAGTAACATACTTAATTTTGTAAGTGAAAGTGACAAAAAAGCATAAACTTAATCTCATTATATATAATTAATTAGCAGATCACTTCTTTGTGATGGATAAAATTACCACCTAATTCAATTTAGTCATTCCGTGTGAAACCAAAGAAAATCAGTATAGCATCTTTACTGAGGATTGATCAAATAATCACTGATTTTATTTCAAATAATTTAAATGTCAGAAATATCTGGAGGAATAAATTGTGGTCAAAGCCAGACCTCCTTGTGAAAAAAAAAGGCAGATACACATTTATTGCTGCTGGCAATGGAAACAACATTAAATAAAGAGGAAGAAAGAGCTGGAGAAACCAAGCTCCACAAAATGAGAACAGTGATGGTAATGGGCACTTACTTCCTACAAAATCAAATAAAAAAAAGAAGAGATGCACTTGATCTGTATACTAAAAGTCCACAAAATTGGCCTTGGCCTCAACGAAAATGATTCAGAACCTAGAACTAGGTGAACTGGATCAACAATACATTTTCTGTATATTTAACTTCTCTCTCGTTTTCTGAGCAAGTGTGTGTGTGTGTGTGTGTGTGTGTGTGTGTGTGTGTGTGCGTGCTTTCCCTGACTTAGTTTTGAGTCACGTATCATCAGACAACATACATACTACAAACACCTTTCAGTCATGTCTTTTGCTTGTGTGCTTATATGTTCCAAATGTATTTTCTCGCAAGGTGCTACCAATTTTAAATATTCACATCACAACTGAGAGACTGAGCTCTATGAGCAGATCAACTCGCGTGACAATTTCTGTTTCAACAGCTCTCTCTGATAAAGCATCCTGTACATATTAAATAAATATGTACCATTACTTGTATTAATATATATTTCAGCAGTGACACTGTCAGTTTGGTGCCTTCACCTTGAATGTTAACATGTACATCCACAGGGCCTGTTCAGAACCAGCTGATCCGCAGACTAACTAGTCCATAGATCAAATATGGCGCACACTCGACAATGTGCCTCCCATGTGTACCATCCCTGCAGGGGCAGAGCAATTAAATCTTGGCATGCTTTCATGTGGATCGTGTCATATTTGAGGATCTATGATCAGGATCAACTGGTTTTAAACAGGCCCAATCAGATCATCTTTATGGTTCAACATGCAAGGTGCACGTACAGTTATTTAAACTACCAGTACAATGTAACTGCTGTAGCAGATGCTGATTTATCTTTGAAATTAATCAAAAATTTGAAATTTCTTTTATCTTTTCAGAGAGCTGGTAACAAAAGAGAGAAGGAAGTTTCCCCAATGAAGACAATTTCAGGTAATCAAATGATAAAATTAGTTTTAGTGATCATAAATCATAAATTTTAGTTCAAAATCACTAAAATCTGGTCTTTTATTCTTATTTATTCTCATTCTACCCACCAAGCATGATGCACAAATCTATATACAACTGTTACAGCAATAATCATGTGATGGAATGATTTAATTCTTTTGCACCCAAAAATTCTCATTAACAAGGGCATGCATACATGATTGATGCTAGTAGGTGTTTTACCCGAAACTGTTCCAAGGATAATAACATGATGTCACACACAACAAATGGAATAAATCATGACTTCTGATAAGATTATAAATATTGCATATATTTCATAGAAATTTAACTGCTTTATTGCAAGCACCTGTGTTTCAAAACTAGATTAATTCATGTCCAGTCATAAAATACAAAACAGGAGGAAAAAATTTCGAAAATTTACATACAGTTTTGCCTTTGGTTCATACTTAATTCAATATAAGTATTTTAATCAAATTGCAGCTTGTGCGAGATAATATACTAAAATGAGGGATAATTATTATATTTCCACACCAATGAAGGCCACACAATGTTAATGAGAGTACTACTACTGATTTAACAGACTAAAATTTTACAATCTTAAAGTTTAGTCCAACTTTTGAACTAAGTTCTTTTGTGCAGCCAGCATGAATAGAGCCAAAAAAAAAGGACCCAGTTAGAAGGGGGTTTGAATGCAGCAGACAATTTGTTATCTGGTCGCGCCTTCAGCACAATGTGAGATTGCTATATATGTAAAACATAAATTATCCTAACATTATCTTAATTGTGTTGAAAGGCCCTTTTGTTGTTGATTGTGAAAATTATTCCAAGATAATCTTAAACTGTCTCAAAAGGGCATTTTGCTGTTGAGATACTGGGAGAGTTATAACTTTAAAGGATCACTGTGCTGAGTGAGAGTGAGGTTGGACATAGTCAATCGATGGGCCAGTAGTACTTGTGTGCCTAAAGCATGAATAATTCTGATAAATACCTTCTAGTATTCAGATATTATAGTCAACAGTACCACTGCCATGTTCTCAGGCACTGTGTGTATTGACTATTGTAATATTGCGTGCCTTTTATACACAGTCCAGTGCACAACATGTGATTCTGTATGTAACACTGCATATTTCATTTGGAATATAGAGATAATGAGACATTCTTTGTGTTCTCAAAAAAAAAAAAAAAAAAAAAAAAAAAAAAAAAAAAAATCTGAATATATAATGGTAGCTTTAAGAACATTACTATGTAAATCAGTAATAACTAGAACGTGGTGCTGCTTGGTGATCACATGTAATAAAACATGATACCTAGTGGTCAATCCATTCAAAATGTCTTAAAATCAAATGTTCTAGTCTACATATCCTGCATAGCTAAGATCTTTTTCAATTTAGACTTTTAATAGTGATGCCGCTGATTCCATGATGGTCTCCCTGCCTCCACATGTGCCATCACTGCAGGGGCCTAGCAATTAAACCTCAGAGCTGGGATTGAATCCATTTAATGGTGCGTGTGGAGAATCAGGGGCATCGCTTTTGAAGTGTGGTCGGCCATATTTAGTTGGCAGATCAGTTAGTACTCGGATCATCTATTCTGAATGGGGCCAATCAAATCAGATCATTTTTATGCCCATGGTACTGTTGGCCCAGCCCTCAGTTCTGTATGAATTGGGCACCATGATTTACGGGGCTTAACATCCCAAATCAGATCTGAAACCACTATGTAACCTCTATGTAAAAGTGATTAATATTCTGCCTAAATCAAATTGGCAAACTAAGTAAATATAGAATAAATGATCAAAATACATGGTTGTTTTTTTGTTTTTTTTTAGGGGGGAGGAGCAGGGGAATCAAAATTTTGTTATATTATTCACCACAAGTTTTTATAATAATCTATAATTCAAAATCATACACATAATTGAAATTCAATCTTTTTATCTCTTTATTTTCACTGCATAAAATCTGTTATTTTTTAACACAACAAGAAAATTAAAGCACATTGTGCTCAGGCCATTCCCGCATTGCATGTTAATGTCCTAACAAATTTCCTCAACCATTTATCCAGAGGATTACGTCTTCATCTAGCCACTAGCATGACAGGCCTGAGGGAGCTTCAGGCTCCAAGATAGAAGTTACATTATATCCTAGTCGTTAATTTATACCACTTATTGTTATGTCAAGAGGGTACGGTAAAAACTCACAAAAGTTGAACAGAAATTTTTATAATTTTCATTTCCCTAAACATTATGTTTTATTGATACTGTCCAAAAACATTGATTTGTTGAAAGTTCTTTTAAGTTAGTCGGGACCAAGAAAGTGCAGACATGATTTTGAGTTGCAAGAAAGAAAAAGGATGAAGAAATGGTTGGGTGATCTTAAGATCAGGGGTCTGGGGATCGTTTAAGGTGAAAAATTACTGAGAAAAAAAAAATGAATTTAAAATCTAAATCAGATAAAAAGCAAGTCTGAATGTGCAAAACATGTTTTTGCGTGAAAAAAACAAAAAAGAAAAAGAATCCTGAAATATTTAAATGAATTAAATACTAGAGAAAGAAATAAGTTTGAAATGAGTGAGCTATTACCGTATTGCCTTTCTATTCTTCTTCAGTGTCCTGTTCCAAGCAATGTTAACATAAAAGCTCACAGATTGAACTTCTCTGACTCAAGATTACAGACCAAATGGGTGCAGGTGCCGTTTACTGAAGAGGTCTATGCAAGGGTTAAAGCAATCAACTCTGAACAACTGACTTCTGATAGGAAACATCTGGGAGGTGAGTAATTCACTCAATTTGTGCATGCATGTAGTATCAAGACACATACAGAATTGTTCCTATTAAAAGAAGACCTGGAAGTAGACAAACATCAATTTACCTAGGAGACAGTTTCAAATTGAAAATTTAGTCTAAAATTTTACTCTACTTTAGTTCATGACAAGTCTACATTAGTCAACTTGAATGAAGAAACTGTAAAATTGGTCTTTTTATAAAAAGAATCCATGATTTTTTTCTGTCATAAAACAGGTGCAATGTTGCACTTGTAAAACCTACGAATGATTCATCTTTGGTCAAAGCTGACTAAAAGTTTGGTGAAACCATATGATAATAATTTTTGTATAGAGTAATTTTCGGTCATTTTCTGTGAATAAACAGAGGTTCGGAGGGGGATACGGAGAGAATCTGTTGCACTTTGTTTGGTGTACATGTTATAGGGTAGGTGACACCAGCTGACATTCTTTAGGTTAAAAAATCTCTGAATATGTCACACCTTTAGAGTTCTTTGCTAGCGTTTCAAAGGGTAGTAATTCCCATAAACTGCTACAAAGATCTCGGTCTGTTTGTCAATGTGTGGCAAATAGAAATGGAAGAAGCAAGAGTTCAATAACATGTTTAATAATATTGCTGTGATGTCCATTACCAGTGAATATCTTCCTGTTCCAATTAAGGCTTTCCTACTGATACCGTATTAAGAAGATCATATCAAAGTCAAACACATCAAGTCATTTACCTCAAATAAATTGACTTCTTACAATACACACTGTAATTACAATACCAGTATAATGCCTGACTATAAGGCCATAGTTTGGGGGAATTTTCACTAAAATTAACTATTGTTCTGATTTTCAAACCATCATTTTTCTGGTTTCCTCAAAATGTAAGTTGTCATGCTTATCCAATATTTAGAACATACAGGAATTTCCCAAAAAGATCAATTGGTCATGATTTTCCTGATTTTAAAACCCCAGTTTTGAGGGAAATTTGCCCAAAAAACAAATGATTTTCTTCAACTCAACACTGTAATTTTCAATTTTTGAACACTTTAAAAGGGCAATTTTTGCAATAAAGAAGTAATAAAATGGATTTTCCCTTTTTACAAGGGTAGTGTTAGATGTATAGAGCATCAGAAGATTTAAACGCCACCTAAAAGACCATCATACAGAACAATGTTTGGAGTATTATAATTGAAATCTGGTGTTCTCTTTAAATTTAACTTACCAAGCATGAAGAACAGTCAAAGATGATGCAGTAATTGACCCCTCCCCCCCACTGAAGAGGAACACATAAATCATAACAGTAAAATTGAAAGAAAAGTCTCATTATTTCATTCTTTGACTACCAATTATCCAACACACATAGCCATATTTATGGAAGATTGTATTACCTCCTGTGCTTTGAAGGTTGTTAATTATAAATGTCATACCTTAAACCACATCAGAAACCCCCTTGATTGACATTTATTTGTCAAAGTCGTACTCATAAACCTGTTCAAAGACCTACAATCTTCATCAGAACTACCTAAAGTACTTGTGATTTAATAATTTATTCTACTTTGATTTTGACACCCATTTTCTTAAACCATGACAATCAAGCCCAGATTATCAACCATAATCAATATACTTTGATCTTCTGTTTCACTTAATATCAGTAGTCTAATGATAAAACTGTTCAAACAAAATCAACCCTGTGATCCCACATTACATCCGCTGGCAGTAAAATAAATCTGGAATTCTTATTAATTCAGGGTTATTCTCAAAAGAATGTCTCTGCCACAACATGAAATAAGAGAATAAGACCCCATTCGAATAAACAGCACTGGTTTACATAGATCGATCGAACTCTGTGGGGACTTTTGCTGAATGCAATCAGCTTTACCATATAATGCATCTCCTCCTGTCATTGAGAAAAATACAGAAAGCTGGTGATTATTCCACTATGTTGCAAACACGAGGAGGCCTGTAGTTCAGTTAAGCTGGTTGCACTCAGCAAGAGTCCTTACAGAGTTGGATCGATCTACATAAACCGACGGTGTCTATGGGAATAGGGTCCAAGATATATTAAAATGTGGTCTTAAATGAAGGAGGCTTCAACCGATGTCTGTAGGCAGTGGCTTCATTTATTGTGACATTTGTACAAGGTAATGGTTACAAATCAGTCTGACATTTTCCAAGAATTACCTTTCAGGAGTCTTATTCTGTAACAGCACGGAATCTTTAGTTTCAATTTTGATTTCTGCTTCTACTGACGCAAAAGCTGTATTATCACTTTGAAAATACAATTATTAGGGGGCCATAAGTAAGCTATAGACATTGATAATGACTACTAACAAACAGTTTCAGAAAAAGCATGTTAACAGTTATAGAATCCAGTCACTGATCGACCATCTGTTTACCATTCACTGAAAGTACAAAATTGACCACAAACTGTCCCAGCATGCATATCTGCCTATACTGTAAGATGGTGCATTTGGAACTTGTTAACTGAACCCATCTGGAGAACCCATCTGAAACCCATTGTTGGCCCCACTTGGGACCAGACTCTGACCCACACTGTTCCCACATGAGCATAATGGCAGGAATATTCACATTAACATTATCAAAAATCCCAGACTTGCTACGGTCTGCTCTCTATGGCTCTATTCCCATAGATTTTAGATCGATCTATCCCCGCGGGGAGTCTCACTAGATTACTTTCAGATAATCCGACTTAAATGTCCGTCCTGCCTACTACAAGCTGTAAGAGGGTAATTAACTTTCGTGTCCGCCCGGCTGACAGCTATTTAGCGTGAACCCCAAGGGAGTTAGGTCGATCTAAAGTAGGTCGATCTAATCTATGGAAATGGGGTGTATGTGTACTTTTCTAGTTGAATATTTAATGGCATTGTAAGGCAACTTTAAGATCCTGCCAAATTTTAAAAAAAAGTGAATAAAAATAACCACAGTATTTTTTCATAAAAGTAAGTCAAGGTAACTCATTTACAGTTTTTATCCAACATTGTGCAAACTGACACCATTTCTACCACATGTTTTAGGTCTGGACCCTAAGCTAGTTCAAGTTATTATCACATTGTGATTAACAGTAGGATAAATGTAGACTGCTGGCCTGATATCCACCTTTAAAAATGAACTATTCACATGTATTTCTCACATTCATGATACATTAGTGAATCCATGCAGTTGTTAGGCAAACTAACTTTAAATCAGACCACACAATCAGTAGTAATACAATGAAGACTCATTATGCTATTTCTTTGATGGGAAAAAAGGAATAAATGATATCATTTTAAACAAAAAAATCTCTACTACAAATGTCAGGGCACTCTGCCCTGCATGGCACTTATCCGCATTTCCCCTGGCTGGTTGCTGAATCAAAGCCAAAAAAATTGATTTTCAAATAATAAAAAAGTCTTTTCTATTTCCCACATAACTGTAGATTATGCAACCCTATTAACAGCCAGGAAATCCCAATTCATGGAAATATCATTAATGGGTTTGCAGCATACCCCATAGTGATAATTATCATGGAAAATCCATGAAACCAGTTCTTGGTAATTCACACCTACAGGCTGTCTGGGCTCCCAGTTACCATTAATTTTCAATTATCCCCCCATGGTGGGAGTGCAACTATCAATGATTTCACTTCCAGCAAGATGTTACATGAGAGTTATTTTATTTCTGATGTATTATCCCTTCTAGACACAGAAAAAATTTCTGAAAAGACTTTATTTCATGATAAACTTATATTAGGAAAATCATTCATTTTAAAAACAGTTAGCAACGTAAATTACTAGTGCAGAAATAAGGGTCATTTTGCCATTAAATCTGAGAATCCTACTTGTAAGTAAATGTCACACCAAGGTGAAGGTCAAAATGTGTTGAAGATGATGAAGATACAAAAATGTTCTTTAAGGTGTATTAAATTTTTGAAAACCAAAAATACACTATGATCCTAAAAAGAGCAATTAAATGCTACTGCCTTGATGAACTTGAAATAAGGTCAATTCTAGGTGAAGGTCAAATCCAGGTAAAGGTCAATTCAAGGTGAAGGCCAAACCAGGCTGACAGTAAAGCTCTTTTAAGCAGCTTGCCAATACATGCATAAAAAAAGTTTTCCAATTGTCATAAAATTTAAGTTCACTACTACTGCTGAAGGCAAGAACCTAACAAAATATTTTTTTTTTAAATTCAGTCTGTACTTAATGATTCAACTGATTAGGTTTAACCGTGTACAAAACCTAAACCTTAACCTTGTGTAACCTCACAAGCTCAAAATATACCACAAGCAACTTAAAACTGCATCAAAAAATGCCAAAGTCAACATTCCCTCCAACAAAAAAACAGGGATTCCAAAACCTTAAATCAACAAGCTGAACACTTGTAGTACAAGCCAGGTACAAGGTGAAGGAAGCTAATGAAGTCATCTTGTTTGAGAAGTACTCATGTTGTTGTCATGTTCTGCAGGCAGGGGGTCTGTAGCTGGCTTCACACAGTTTCTTTGACCCAAAAATTTGTCTAAAGTCTAGACCACAATTGCACAGCATTTTGACCCTAGGTGAATTAGTAGTTGCCCAATTAAAAAGTTATTCTCTGAACAGTACCAATACTTCATACGAAATGAGACCACTTTGAAATAAATTTTAAATAAGGCAGTCTGAAAAAATTGGATCCAAAAGTTTGGACCAAATTTCTGGTTTAAGTTTTCTTGTAGAACCAGTCCATAGAGGTGCTGGCTGTAAGGTGAAAAGTTAAGGTGAGCTAACACTAAGGTGAGTTAATAAAGAGTCTGGTGTCCTGATAGCATAGAACAGCTAGTTCACTGTGTGTGACACATTCAAAATTTAGCAGACTTGAGATCATCTCCAAGACCGTGACCATGACGAAGTTTGCTCGGAAAGAGCACACTTTCTTCACCTTCTCATCAGGGTATGCATACACTTTGCATTATCTCACCTGACTTAATATTAAGCCTCACCAAAACCAAATGAATTCTTCCACTGA